CCTCTCTGAACCAGAATCACGCGTATGTTCAAAACGCTGCAGCTCGAGTCCTGACTAGAACCAGGAAGTACGATCACATTAGTCCAGTTCTCATGTCTCTGCACTGGCTTCCAGTGGCTGCTTGTGTACACATAAGTGACATGTTAGGGCCACATGAAGCGACTCGGACTCTGAGGAGCACAGGGACTGGCCTCCTGCTGGTGCCCAGAGTCAGAACTAAACATGGGGAGACAGCGTTTCAGATTTCCATCCATCCATCCATTTTCTACCCTTTAATCCATTTCTGGGTCAGGGGGTGGCAGTCAGAGATGCCACCCAAGTCTCATAGCACCAGCCCCTCACTGACCCTCTGCAGGTGGTGAGTCCACAGGAGGACGGCTGCTCTCTGACTGTGAGCATAGCCTTGATCTTTCAGTGGGGGCTTTGGGCAAAGTGGGGTTAAGAAGGTGGGAAATGAACCCACGACCTTCTGGCCTTAAGGCCAATGCTCTACCAACTGAGCTACTGTCGCCCGCGTTTCAGATTTATGGAGCTAAAAACTGTCTTCCTGAAAATGTGAGACAGGCTTCTGACAATGTTCATATCCAGGTTAAACAGTTCTGTTTAGCTGTGCATACAACTGAAGCATTTTCATCTTCACTCTTTTTAACTTTAATGGTTTCCTCAACCATTGGGTATGGTTCTCACCTTATGAGATAATAAGTCTACTGAAATCTCCTTCTTTGGGGATTCACACTTGGTTTCAGGGACTTTTGCCATCAGTCTGCATCTCAACAATTTGGTTGATGAATAATTAAAACATTATAGGCCCAAAGACAAAAACGCAACAACTAATTTAAAGTTATTGTGACTGTGGTGGCTCATTTAAAGACAGCCACAGTGTGCCAGGTGCAAAAGTTCTTCTGACACTGAGACCAGGGAGACGTAATCCATTTAAGTCCATTTATTGAACAAAAGAATAAAAAAAATGAACATTACAGTCTTGATCTGTGTGCTCCAACACCTGAACTCAAACTCAAACTAATGACCTCAGAGCAGTCTAAATAATGGGAGTGTCTCTAATTTTAAAGCTGCTCTACCCGTTTTTAAACTTAGATATTTTGCAATTGCCTTTTACAGTTTTTAATCATTATGAAATTTACAATAACTTATAAAATTTTAGAATCTTTCTTTAACGTAATATTTTAACCGTTTAACTTTAACTTTTTAGGGTTTTAACCATTTTTAACATTTAGTCTGACTATTTTATATTTTAACTTTAAATTAAACACTTAATTAACTGTTTTGGCTCTCACAGTGACCTACATTTTAGTAAATCCAAAAATGAAAAAAAAATACATTGCTTTCGTCAAGGAGTGAATGTTAAAGGGTTAATGTACTGTGATTATGATATTAATGGCGTGTATGATTGTTTCTATCTTGTTTTGTCCAGCACTTTAAGTTACCTTGTGTATGAACTAAACTATGCAAATAAACTCGCCTTGCCTTATAACTCGGCAAACGGCCTGTCTGTCCACCTTCCATCGCCGCGCATCCGTTAATTACCGCGAGCATTGCAACACATCACCGTAATGCGCTCGCCGCCGCAGATTAGAGCATTACGGGCGCAGTTATTCGGCAACAGTTGATCACTCGTCTGAGGAGAAGCGAGCCGTGAAGAGCGATGTGCCCACGCCCCGCTCGTCTGAAGCGCCTGCTCGACCTTGGCGCGCAGATTTATAATGACAAAAGGCCACTAGAGAATGTCCTGCGCGCTTTCGCTTCAGTGTTTTTTTTTTGTTTTGTTGCATTGTTGTGGCAGTGTGAATGCTTTCCGCAGTCAATAAGTACTATGTCTCTGTGCAAGGGCTTGTTTTGTGCTTTTAAGAAATGGTAGGAACGCCGCAAAGGCAATGGATCAATAGAAAGTGATGCTCCAGTCCCTATGTGTGGCTGTGGTGTGATTCATTCAAATCCAATAGTATTTTTAAAGTGTTATATGGTCAGGTTTGGTTTTGTTCTGATAATATTTTGGATCTTCTACTGAGAAATTAATGGACTTGTCGCTGGATTCAGTTGTGAGGAAGGAGTAAAAGACTGCAAAACATATACTGAAGACTTTGTGATGTTGTTATCTTGGAAAAGAGAGAGAAAGCAAAGTGTCCTTGGTATGTTTCTCATTCATTCTAGATAATGCTGGGGTGAAATACAGTACATATACAGTATATAATATTATTGATAGTATTTGAATACATTATATGGCTAGGCAAGGGAATGTATTTTTATTGAATTCATGGTTTAACAGCTTTGTGTACTAGGGTTTTTATCCGATCCAATCCACTATTTAGATTTCATAAACACAGTTGCCAAAGTGCTGCACAATAAAAGACTAATTAGAAGAGTAATAAAGTTAAGTAAGTAAAACAGTAAAATCATTAAAAATAAAATAAAGCCATAAATATACATATTTATCTAAAAACAAAAAAGGAGCTTGCAGTATCTTTGCTGTTCCTAGCTCTGCACTTTTCTGGACCTAGATTTCCGAGGTTGTTCCAGGGATCTGCTGTAACCACTCCTTCAGCTGCGGGGTCACTGCCCCGAGTGCACCGATCACCACGGGCACTACTGTCACCTTTACCCTCCTTTCCTCTGCCCTTTGTCCGCCACCATAATGTCAGGTTGGTTTTCCATTACCATTCTGTCGGTCTGTATCTGGAAGTCCCACAGGATCTTTGCACGCTCATTCTCCACCACCTTTGGAGGAGTTTCCCACTTAGACCTTGGAGTTTCCAGCCCATACTCTGCACAGATGTTTCTGTACACTATGCCAGCCACTTGGTTATGGCGTTCCATGTAGGCCTTCCCTGCCAGCATCTTGCACCCTGCAGTTATGTGTTGGATCGTCTCAGGTGCCTCTTTGCACAACCAACACCTTGGGTCTTGTCTGGTGTGGTATATCTGGGCCTCTATCGCTCTGGTGCTCAGTGCCTGTTCCTGTGCAGCCATGATGAGTGCCTCTGTGCTGTCCTGTAGGCCAGCCCTTTCTAGCCATTGGTAGGACTTCTTGAGATCAGCCACTTCTGTTATGCTCCGGTGGTACATGCCGTGTAGGGCCTGTCCTCTCATGATGGGCTCTCCTCCAGCACCTCCTCATCTCGCCACTGCCTGAGACATTCACTGAGTACGTTTTCCTTTTTTACCTTCTCCATGATGTGGTTATGGAGTTTGGATGTTTCGTCCTGGACAGTGGTTCTCACACTCACTAGTCCTCGGCCTCCTTCTTTACGGCTTACAGACAGTCTCAGGGTGCTGGATTTGGGATGGAACCCGCCATGCATGGTGAGGAGTTTTCGAGTTTTAGCTGTTAATTGCCCGGGCCTTGTTCTTGCCAGTGAGCCAGCTTCTTAGGACCTGCCTTACTCACTGGAGGTATTTGGCAGTTGCCGCTTTCTACGTTGCCTGTTCGAGATTGCCATTTGCCTGTGGTATACCGAGACTGATACCGTGTATGTGCATATCTATATATATATATATGTATATATATATATATATATATATACAGTGCATATAAATGAAAATTTCTGCAAATATGCAAGAATTAGCCAAGAGGCATTTTTCATTCGTACAACTCAAGTCAACTCATTTCAATACATACAAGGCTAGGCAAGGGATGTTTATTTGTATGGCTCAAATTCTCAAGACAACTCAAAGTGTTTTATAAAACAGCACTTCTGGTGTTTGTACAAACTGTCCCATTTAACTAAACATAAATTCATCCATGTTGTCCAGTGAATCTGAGTGTGAGTGAGTGATTAGTGGTGGTTGAAAGGATCTTGAGTGTAATGCAGTGTTATTTCAACACATTACCGTATGGTTTCAGTATGGATTGTACAAAGCTAAGCCGCTAGCTCAATTCCATTTCTAACTATTGGGCTAAAACAAATCCATGGTTATACAGCTTTGTAGGATGCTGGTGTCTACATTTTGATATAGTGTTTGGAACTCCCGATATAAGCCCAAATAAACTGACAAATGCGTGCCTTCTATCCCCAAAAGGCTTCAGCTAGCTAGACTGACTCTGGTTCCAATTGGCTCTCTGGTTGTTAGGTTGTTTCTACCCACTTATCTGGTTAGGGGGTTTGAGTTTGCTCCAGTCGGTTTCCTCTGCAATAAGGCTAACAGTATGGGTGAATTCACTACTACATGGTATGGCGTGATACAAGGCAGTAGTAGTAAAATACAAAATAGACATATTGTCGCAGATGAAATTAAAAAAGGAACCCAAAATGGAGGACTAAAAATAAAGTGTAATTTGAGTAAGTAAAAAATGTGGTGATGCCACAGGAACCTGAACATTCAACAACATTTATGGACATATAGCATAATTTATGGACATTTGTAATCTGCCCCTTATAGATAAATACGATGTTTTCTGTTTTATTTCTTGTGTTGAATTGTTTTATACTCTAATTTATGTTGGCGAATTCAACGATAGTCCTCTGAGATGTACTGTTGATTTAGGGATTTACAAAAATACATTGAATTGAATTGAAATCCAAAGAATAGCCAAAACACTAAATTCCAGAGCTGAAAACAAGCCAGGACAAACTTGGTAGAGACAATGGACAGACAAGTGGGAAAAGCACAGTGTATAAATAAAAACAGAGAGACACAGGTGAATCAGGGTGTGGTCAACAATCAGCAGATGGACAGAAAAACTCAACAACAAGAGAACAAATATGTATAGCAAAATAAAACTAAAATAATCCAAAAGTCCACTCCATGGCACCATAAAGTCTTATGACCCATATAAAAAATCCTGGGCCCTGAATATTTCTATACATTTACCTCATCACGTACTAACAGTGGTGTCCCTCTTTCTCTTGCAGCTCCCCGCCCCGATGAGCAGATTGCCCCCCTCCTCCGTCATGCGCCTTTGGGGAGAGGCAGAGGTGGTGTGTGGGTGCCCCGCTGATGTACCCCTGTACCCCCCACCGCTCCTCTGATCGCCCTGCTCCGTGATGAAGACCGCCCAGCCCCCCCGCAGTCCCCCGCTGGTCCAGATGAGGCGCTACGGTCCAGGAGTATACCCTTTCCTGTTCCCCTCCGTGATCAGCTCCCTGCCGCAGTTGCCCTCCTCCCCCCACAGACTGCAGTTACAACAGCCGCCCAGCAGTGGGAGCACTCCTTCTCCTGTGGGTGAGTGGCCGCGTCGTTTTGTTGTTTTTGTGAGGTACATGTTAATTACACTTCGGATTAGGTCGTTCATTGGAATTCTAATGGTTTTTCAGAGTTATTGACGTGTACCGTATCTTTGATTGCTGTAAAACTTCTCACACACACTTAATACACTTTTCTAAACACCTGAACTCACGACTGCTGAAGTGCAATCGCAGAGATATAAACCTGTTGGATGTAGGTCTGAGAGCTGCTGCAGCTGTCACAAGCCGAGCATAAACTTTGAAATACAGCTGCAGAGGAACTGAGAGACAGGAGCAGGACTGGAGGCTACAGGAAGGGCTTAAGGCAGAAGAAAATGTGTGTTTTCTTCTGCCTTAAATAAAGGCAAGTGACATGGTATAACGAGAGTAAGACGTCACCACAGTCTCGGTTCAAGGCGCTTCTGTTCTTTTGTTGGACGTTTTCTGTCCCCTCTGCCCTTTCCAAGCTGCTAAAAGCTTTAAGGTAGAATTGTTTTTTTTTTTTGCATAAGCACACCCAGGCTTGGTTTGTATATAATAGATATTCTGTTAATTGATTTCTATGAATTGGTTTGCACCTCATACAACTTTACACAACATAAAAACATGGAGAGCATGACATCTTTGAATTTTATACACAGACCTTGCAAAATAAATGCAAAATAAATACAGACTGTATAAAACTCGTGCATTAATCATATATAGTGAAGAAGATGACATAGTCTGGGATCGCGTCTTTAATTCAGACAGAAGACATGTTTTATTGTCAATGGTAGAGACAGCACGAACAACACGAACACAGATACAACAGAATGCAAGTGTATTATACAGAGCGGAGGCATGGAGACCTCCAATCAGCAGCTTCCACGGTGCCATGTAGCTTGGCCTTCAGATAGAGAAAACAAGGGAAAAGTACTGGCTTCTGCACATTGATAGAATGATGAGTTTAACTTTAACAAAAGTTGCTTAAAAGTGTTATGAAATCTCACATTCCCCCCTCTGGTCATACATTCACGTGTGACCATCAGGATCAATAAACAGCAACATAACATCATATCTCAATACTTAAACTCGGTACTTCACTCGGTACTTCAAAAACTCAGAACTCGGAATACTTCAAAAACTCAGAAAACTCATAAAACATGTTCAGATCTTTCATTAAACTTATCAACAATCTTCAGTAAAATACCAAACTTCATCAGTCGATGGTGGTTCCAGATATTGCTTTGAAAACAGTCTCTCCCACTTCTCCTGTTGATTTCATCAGGCTGTATTTGTCGTGTCGAGCCATGAATTCTTCTGTGACGTGTCTTTCAATCACACGTTTCAGCTTCAGTGTCCAGATTCAGCAATCCAATTCAGTCCAAATTATGTCCAAATAAATTCAGAAATCCAATTGTTCCAAATTATGTCCATGCAAAAGGACAATGGTGTTGTCCATGTCTCAGCAGCTCACAGCCTGACTGGAATCAGGGGTTGTGCAGATTGTCCATGTGCTGATCCAGATGCATTCTCTTGAGGTTTCTCAGTTTTGGCTTAAAAAAAAAACATTTTTGTGTAAAAAAAAAGTCTTCTGTTCTGTAGATGTTACAGACAAGGCCCGCATCCTTCCACCACCTGAAGAAGATGACATAGTCTGGGATTGCGTCTTTAATTCAGACAGAAGACATGTTTTATTGTCAATGGTAGAGACAGCACGAAAAACAGATACAACAGAATGCAAGTGTATTATACAGAGCGGAGGCATGGAGACCTCCAATCAGCAGCTTCCACGGTCCCATGTAGCTTGGCCTTCAGTAAGTAAGTAAGTAAGTAAGTAAGTTTGTATTTATATACCGCCTTTTCACTGCAGATCTGAGTCTCAAAGCGGTTTACAATTGTTAATTTTGGGCATTTGTCTCTCACTCCACACAGATGGGAGCGGGGTCGCCAGTACAGGAGGCGCATGCCAGAACTATTGGACATATTTTTAGTGGTAGGGGAAACCGGAGTACCCGGAGGAAACCTACGCAGACACGGGGAGAACATGCAAACTCCACTCAGAAAGGCCCTGGTCCGGCCGGGATTCGAACCCAGGACCTTCTTGCTGAGAGGCGAGAGTGCTATCCACTCAGCCACCGTGCCGCCCAGATAGACAAAACAAGGGAAAAGTACTGGCTTCTGCACATTGATAGAATGATAAGTTTAACTTTAACAAAAATTGTTTAAAAGTGTTATGAAATCTCACAATAGCTTTATTTGTGATGTTTCAATGCCCTTCATTGACCCTCCTGCTGGTGGTGGGTCAACGTGAGGTTTTCTTCATGGCCTTGGTCTTTCAATGGGGGCTGTATTGAACGATGTTTGTCTAATGAAAGTCTACAGACAAAATCCCACTCAAACAGCTTAATTAAATGTTAGGTCAATGATTACACTGGAATTTGCATGAGTGCTGAAAAAGTGGATATAACTGGAGATTTGTATGTTTGCTTTGTTCACATTTCGGCTCAACGTAGAGTTACCATCTCTGGAAACACAGCGGTTTATCACAATATCCAGTCTATGTTTGGTCAGAAAGGTTATTTTCTCTAGTGGTTTACCTATGAACCAATTAACCCTCTACATGCTTCTCTTATGCTTCTTATGTATAAGTTGTGCGTTCTCAGAGTCCGAGTTGGTTCATATGGCACTAACATGTCACTTATGTACTTTGGTGCGAGGCCATGGAGAGACTTGTAACAAGCAGAGCTGTTTTAAAGTTTATTCTCTGAGCGACAGGAAGCCAGTGCAGAGACCTGAGAACTGGACTAATGTGAACGTGTTTCCTGGTTTTAGTCAGGACTCGAGCTGTACATATACGAGGGGGTAATACACAGTTCAATTTAGCTTAACAAGCAGCAAACAATGAGAGTGACACTGCTCTATACGTAAAGCCTAATATTCAGGTTTATTTAACTGACTGCATTATTAAAGTCTTGTGAGAAAATGGTCTTTTTTTCAGCTCCAGCCTCAAGGAAAGCAGCAGCCGCTAACATCATTTAATGTGAGCAGGGCTAGAATGGGACCAAAAAACAGCCCGGGCATTTTCTACACAATAAAAAGCTGTTTTTTGAGCGATTCATGCATGTTTGAGTTATTTAAATATACGCACTACCATTGCTCTCTCCCCAGTCCTCTGATTGTCAAAGGAACTACAGAGGTCATAGATGAACATGTTATAGAGAACAGATGCATATTATGTCCCAGTTTAAGTGTCCCTAATTGACAGGCCCGCAAATGCAAATGATAAACTTAAGGACAAGAACTAGGATGAAGACCTTCTTTTCTTATCATTTCTTGGACTGGACAGAACAGATGTACAGCTCGATAAACGCTGATTTGTCCCCAGTTCGTGTCTGTTTCATAAATAAATAACATATCTGTAACTTTTTACATTCCCTCCATGAAGAAAGCATTGTATTTTTTTCTCTCATGGATTTTTAAACTAATAACACAAATGTTATTATTATTATTATTTTTTATTATGGGCCTATACCAAATGGTTGAGATGCTGTTTGATGAGATTCCCCAAAGAGTTAGATTTCAGTTCCAAGCTTCAAGTAGATAGAGCGACTCAAAAGATGGTCTACCAAATGCCATTAAAGCCATTAAAGGGTTAAAAACGTCTTCAAAACTGGACCTGAGCATTCTTTAACACGGCTATAGTCTCCATTACTGGCAGATGTTTTGACAGACAGATCCTATTGTTGTCTGGCTCTCTCCCCTCCCCTCTCCTCCAGCAGCAGGTGTATAGGGGGGTGGGCGGGTGGGTCTCCTCTGCCTGTCCCCCGCAGAGCACTCATGTGAACAGTCTCCTCGGCTCAACTCCTCCTGCAGCAGGGAGCAGGCTGATGGCACAGGCTGTTCTTCTTGTTGCTTGTTCTCCTCCTTCCCCCACAGAGACACACACATACACAAACTGCATGGGGGGGTTTCATGTCGAGCCTTTGGACAGTCAATATTAATCCCAAAATTAGACACAGATATAGAGAGTAGAGTTTCTCCGTGAAGTAGAAATGGCTGAGATGGTTTTATGTAATCTTGGGGTGTTCTAAAATAATATCTTTTTAGATTGTTTTTTTTAACATTGGATACAATATAGATTTTTTTATTTAGACATTTATTCTTTCCATTATTTCTATTATCCTGTCAATCTTCTTTAATAAATGAAATACTAATGTATCAATAGTGTTACATTTGTATTAAAATGTGGGTGGAATGCCAAATAAGGGTCCAAATCCTTTCATTATTTACTTTTATATACTTATATTTATATCATATTGTGTCATGCTTATCGAGATCCGTATCGTATCGGCAGCGGACACATACCCAGTCTTGAGTTCACATCATTTATTTATTTCCTGCAAAAAAATAAATAACAGGATACTAGAGAAACAGAAATAAAAATGGCATTGCATTATTCACAGACTCTAAAATATCTAAAAGAAATAAAGTAAAGTAAAAAAAGTTCTATCAATATGAATATAAAAATTCAACAGCACAGCAGTTTAGTAACTTTATAGTGGGGGCCAATACAATGCAAAAATATGACCAGGCAGTATATTGTATGTATTTCAAAAGGAAGACGAAAGAAAAACATATATACATTCATCCATCCATGCATTTTTTTCCGCTTCATCCGTTGCCAGATCGCGAGGGCAGCAGTCAAAGCAGAGACGCCCAGACTTCCCTATCCACACACCCTTCCTCCAGCTCATACCCCCCGTATGGCGTTCCCAGGCCAGCTGAGAGACATAGTCCCTCCAGTGTGTCCTAGGTCTTCCGCGGGGCCTCCTCCCGGTGGGATCTGGAACAGATGCCCGAGCCACCTCAACTGGTTCCTCTCGACGTGGAGAAGCAGCGGCTCTACTCCGAGCTCCTCCCGTGTGACTGAGCTCCTCATCTCTAAGGGAGCGCCCAGCCACTCTGCGGAGGAAGCTCATTTCGACCGCTTGTAAACGTGATCTCGTTCTTTCGGTCTTTCGGTTACCCAAAGCTCATGACCATAGGTGAGGGAGGGAACGAAGATTGACCGGTAAATCGAGAGCTTTGCCTTTCGGCTCAGCTCCCTCTTTACCACAACAGTTCAATACAGTGACCGCATCACTGCGCACGCTGCACCGATCCGCCTGTCAATCTCACGCTCCATCCTTCCCTCCCTCGTGTCACATATTATACTGTATATATACATCTGTGTCTAACAAGATACAAAATAACCAGTCATACGCAGTTAAGTTGCTGTAATGTATGAAATCTAAATACATTGCCTTATGTCCAATTCAATCCGGGCGAAAGTGGCTCTGTTGGTAGAGCCTTGGAGCCGGAAGGGCGTGGGTTCAGACCTTCTCCACCAACTCCCACTGCTGTGATTGTGTCCTTGGGCAAGACACTTTACCCCACTTTGCCCATAAGGATCGTGGGAGTAATTGTTCGCTGCATGCCTTGATGTGTACATGTGAATTCATCAAACTGAAATTTCCCGACTGGTACGAACAAAGGACAATCTTCTTCTAATCCAACATTCATAATAAATGTTCTTATACAAAATGCTTTTCACAAGGACACCATAAACACAAATACAATAATGTAATGCCCGATGGATCCACAGTGGGTGTTAAATTCAAGAATATGTCAAAATAAAAGCATATGTTGACCACACATTTCTGTTTTAGATTGGATTGTCAACAGTTGGGGCAAAGTAAAAGACAACACAGAAACAACACTGTCCTCCTTTGTTGTTGGCATTTTTCATATTATTTACAACATGAGACAAAAGCATGCGTCCAAACCCTCTGATTTAGATTCGAGTGAAGTTCCAGATGAAATAAATGCAAAGTAAAGCCGACAATAACACGTTTGTTGCACGATCCCGAGGGACGCATTCAAATCCTGGGTTGTGTACTAATGTGACCGTCCTGCGGCTTCCACTGTCACCAACGGGAAGCACGGAAAACAAGGAAAAGCTCTGGGGAAAAGACAGGTCCCTGATGAGCTCACCCCACTGCATCACCAACTGAAAACGGAATAATGGAATAAGGGACGATGGAATGAATCAAATAACATCAAACAACACGCGCATAAGAACAATGGATCTGTGTTTGAAATGGTCAACTTCAAGTCACAGAAATAATTATCATAACTTGGGAAAGACTGCTTTTTCTGTTCATAGTTTGGTTTATGTTAATGACATATTGTAACTTTAGTTCATCTGCAGCGTTCTCTGCTATTACCACTACATACTGTACACTGCAAAAAATGCTCTTAATAATTGCTTGTTTTTCATTTGAGAACATTAACAGCGCACACTCGTTGACTGCGTGCATGTACGCGTAACTGTATTTGGGTGTATTTGGGTGGGTGCTGTCCCTGTGTAGTCTATGGAGCAGTCTAGAGGACAGTACGGGCCAGAGGACTGATGTAGAGCAACACAAATCACATGCATGTGTTTGTCTTCATGGTCTCTGTGCGCTGGTTTGATGAAAGAAAAAAAAACGATGTCCAGAATCGCTGTAGAACCTGCTGCTCCTCCTGCTGCTCCTCCTGCTGCTCCTCCTGCTGCTCCTCCTGCTGCTCCTCCTGCTGCTCCTTCTGATAATGTTTAGATACAAGTGTTGTGTATGTGTAGATGTGATCTAAAGCCAAGGGTCACTATAAAAATCATGTTTCACATGTGTTTTCAATGGGAGACGTGTTGATGCGCACATAAAATTAGAAATCCATCCTAAATTAGGCGCAGCCTCGCGTCATACGTCCGTCATACGCGCGTATAGCACTAGTAGTGTAAATATCATCATTGGTTAACATGGAAAAAAGTTGTACGCGTCTGCCGCGCGTATAACGCGTACGTGCTGTAACGCCTCCTGCATAAATTAGCAGTTATTGTTTACATTTTTCGAGGAAGTCATTTCTTGTATCTTTTTAAAACAAGATAATTTGTCCTGTCCCATTGTGCCAAATCTTGTTTTAAGGCAGTCAAAATATGCTAAAAATAAGACACATTTTGCAAATTTGAGCAATTTATTTTTTGACTTATTTTTCATCCCTTTTTGCTACATAGTCAGTCATGTTTTGTGTTTTGCAAAAAAGTAGGAGGTAGACTAATAATATTAAGATGCTGAAAGGAAGTAAGTAATTTTTATTTATCTAGTGCCTTATGATTGTTGTGGGCATTTGACTCTCTTGAGGTCGCCATACAGGAGGAATATGTCAAAACTATTTTACATGTTTTTAGTGGTAGCAGAAACTGGAGCCCCCGGAGCTCAAGTTTTCAATTACATTACGGATTTTAATACAACTTGTATGTAGTAAAACGCATTTTTATGAAATTAGAAAATATATCGGGTATAGCTTCTTTAAGTAGGGGATGAATTTTCAATTTTTCACCTCCAGAAAAAATCAAACCCCGGACCTTGATGTTTGGTTTGCATGTCCTCCACATGTCTGTGTATGTGTCCTCCGGGTGCTACCACTAAAAACATGGATGAATGAGTATCAGTACAAACCATAGTGCTTTGTGTGACCTTGGTCTGTGCAATGCACTTATAAATGAAGATTACTTATTTATTTTCTGACCCCTTGCTCCATCTCTATTATGGATATGAGTGCAGAAACACAACTACAGTGGTTTGCTTGGAGTCCATTTTTCCCCATTTAAGGGTTAACCATAGACTGTAAATGTTAACAGACGTAGTCAAGCTTATCTCAGTCGTTCTAATGTGCCACAACTTTCGCGGTCTATGGGCAGTTTCAAAATGGCCGCGGGGACTGGAAAATGTGAAAAAACATGCGCCATTCATTTAACACGTGCCTTCAAAAATTCACAGCGACTAAACTAGACTGGTCCAAAAAAATTCACCCCCCTCAGCATTGACACACATGTGGAACGGAGCTTTGGGCCAAGAGCCAACTTTTGGACCATCCTGTAAAGACGTTTTTGAGAGGTCTGCCAATGCTAAATGTTAGCATTGGCTAATTCTTATTCCGGGTCCACCCCCATCGTCCCGGGGTGGTATTGCAAGCATGTCAGCGCAAGTCATTTTGGCGACTTTTGAGCCGGGACCCGCCCCCACTGGGATTAACCCCTTGACTCTATGATCAATGCTAACCTACTAGCTCAATAAAGCCCATTAGGGAAGTGTTCATGGTCGAAGTTTTGCTCCAACTTCCTTTGGCTCCTAATGAGTGGATAGCACTACCCAGGTCCTGGGTTTAGTTACACCTCCAGACAGGGCCTTTCTGTGTGGAGTTTGCATATCCTCCCTGTGTCTGCTTAGGTTTACAATACAAGATTTTTCCTACTTGAAATAGCACGGCAAGATATTTATACAGAACAAAGTGCACAAAGTGCTTTACAACACAAAGGGTTTGAATCCTTGTAAAAACATCTATAATTACCTTAAGTTTGATTTTTAAAGAGTAATTAAGTTATCTTTATGTAGCACATGTCAAAGACCAAGGTTCTTGCAGCAGTGAAGTATTTACCTTTGCATAACACAATATTAGATTAACGACAAAAACTAAACCTTTATTGGAAAGTCTGAACGCTTATGAAGTGCACCTTTCAATACAATAACGGCTGTAATGAATTCTAGCAAAAGTAAAGTGTTACAACTGGTTGGATATTAAAAAGTAATAAGATAGATGACAGATGTAATTAGGTTGGGCTTTTGATCAGATGATTTAGAGTCGGCTGCTGGAGGATAGGCTCAGTAAAAGACAGCAACAAAAAAGTTTGAAGTACAGTGTATCATACAAAAGGTTGTGAACAATAATGAACAAATAATACAGTATATAAAGAAAATACAAGC